TGTCAAACAGTTTATCTGCAAAACTAAAAACACCCATCTCCCCACGCTTCTCAACAAGACCAATCCTATATTATACATAGCATTTTCAGGACCCATATGAGCTATATCACTATGAATATGAAATAACTTGTTGCAAATCGAAACCACAAGAGCAAGACTTGAGAACAAAGATAAATGTCTGGTTGTCTGGTTCTTTTCCATCTTCTAACATAAAATAGTGCAAGTTGAGAGCTTTTCCGTCATGGTTTGCTCTCGTATAAGTTCTGATCACAGAATTTCATTTTGTATATATACTTTCCGTGTAAACAGTTCCTTCTTCTTACTCCCTCTGCTATGGGGTTGTCCTCTGAATTGGTCTGTTTCCTTTCAGGCATTCGTTAGACACGTTTAGCTCAACCTTTTGCTTCAGTCTTTTTTTTTTATTTATGAAAAAAGTATTTTTACAACCAAACAATTAAATTTACAAGTGTTTTTTACAAAGTTTAACTCAAAAGTTATAATCATAAGAAGCAAGAGATATAATCATAAGAAGCAAAAAGAGGTTAAGATCAATAAAAAACAAGTGTCCAAATCCTCTTGATTCCTGTGGTGCACACTGCCCCCAAGACTGCTACGTATGTTGGGACGAGTGTATATATATGTGTGTCTGTGTGTATAGCGAACTTATTTCTTTTTCCTGAAGGTTCAAATTCTGTCTTGAATTCAACTCCAACATGAACTTTGATGGAGCCAAGTTCGAATTATTTAGTTTTGACGATAGAAAAGCCAATTGAGAGAAGTTTCTTTAAGGCATTTCGTCAAACTGTTGGTGGGCAGACTCCAAACGAGGAGACAATTCAAGCTCTGGTTTTTGGCGGTCAGAGCATAAACGCCATTGAAGTGGGCAGTGAAGAGACGAGGAGAGTTCTGAGGGTAGTGACTGAGTTAATGGATATAGCCCCTCTGCATCTGGTTTTCATGATTCTGATCTGGAGCTGGGTGAAGAACTAAGAACCCTAAACAGAAATACTGAGACTGGTATTATTTAACTTGAATCAAGTCTTTAATTGAATATCAAGTTGGAACTTTTTTAAAATGCAAATTGCTGGCATTTCTTGAACAGCAGCTTTTGTCCCTGTCTATATATATATATATTTTTTTATATAAATTTAATTAATATATAATAATAATAATAATTGAATGATAATAATATATAAAATAAAAATAATAAATTTTTTTTATATTTAAATAATTATATATTAATGTATGGTATAATTATATTTTTAATTAAATTATTAATTTATTTATATTTATTATGTAAAAAAATAAAAAATATGTAATAAAAAAAATTATTTAAAAATATAATTATATTTATATTTAATAAAATAAATAATTATTTAAATATAAATATAATTTTTTTTTACATTTTTAAAATATTATATATTAATTATTTATTATTTACCATTATTTCAGTGTTAACGGTCGTTATGATTATGCCTGACAAACGAGGCTTGTATTCGAAACTCCGTTATGTTTGTTTAACGGGAGTTTATTTGTAGTTGGATAGTTGCTTCTCCAGTTTTGTCGTTTATAATGAATTGACTCCCAAAAAATGATTCCCTTTTTTTTATTAAAAAAAAAAAAAAAGCCCCATATGGGGAAGGTTCTTTCTGTGAGCCTGCAGACTCTGACATTTTCTTCTATCTTACTGAGACGATGACTGTCCATTTTATCTCATGTGTAGGTATTCTCATTCTGTAGTTCACATGGGTTTTCTTTTGGAAATTTTCACTGTGAAAACATAAACCATTTAGAATTTGTACCTCCCTTTTTTCATTTGTTCTTTGGTTGATCCTTTTTGTTAAAATTTCTGTTTGATGTATTGTGGAACGAGCATGTTCATTTTGGTTTTTCTTTGCGGAGGGGGGAAGCAATGATTGAGCAGAGAGTTGACCAGAAACATGGTCGTCTGGACAGGGCTGAAACCATAATGAGCCACTCACAGGCCCCCAGGAAACGCGCTTTTGAGTCAAGCGGCTGTTGCTTCTTCATTTTGTCGTCCATGTGAAGCGACCAAACTCAGACATGGCTTCTCTATCATTTTGTCATCTGTGGTTTGAGTGCGTTCCCTTGGCATTCAAATCTGAATCTTAATCCATAGATTCTTGTTAACAGCTTCTTGTTTTCTTTACTAAAAGCTGTGGCTATGGAGCTGGCTGTGGAATTTGTCACTGCCTTTTCCTCTGTACTTGTCGACCACTCAGTGGCTTCTGTTGGGCGACAAATTGGTTATTTGCTCAAGTACAAGACCAACATAGAGGACCTCAAGAACCAACTTCAGAAACTGAAAGATGAAAGAGATAAGGTGCAGCATTGGGTTGATGATGCTACAAGAAGAGGGGAAGAGATCGAGGCTGTTGTCCAAAGGTGGCTAGACAATGTGGACAAGAACATTGAAGAAGGAGAGAAGGTTATCAGGAAAGCCGAAGAAAGAGCCCAAAAGGAATGGTTTAGAAGGTCATTGAGATCACGTTATCGGGTTGGCAGGAGAGCAGCAAAGGAGACAGAGACTATTGTTAAACTTAATGTCGAAAGCAGCTTTGAGAGGGTTTCATATCGTCCTCTTCCACAAGGGATAGGGATTACAAGTGTCAAAGGTTACGAGGACTTCAACTCAAGAAAGCATACCTTGAATGGAGTTATAGAGGCCTTAAAGGATCCAAATATCGGCATGGTTGGGATATACGGGATGGGTGGTATTGGAAAAACCACATTAGCGAAAGAAGTTGCCAGTAAAGTCAAGCAAGAAGGAGAATTTCCTGTTTTGGTTTTCGTGGAGGTCTCCCAGGAACAAGATATTAAGAAAATTCAGGGAGAAATTGCAGATAAGCTGGGCTTGGAGTTTCGGGAAGAGACTTTATCAGGCAGAGCAGATAGGCTATGTGACAGATTGAAGAAGGAGAAGCGGATCCTCATAATTTTGGACAATCTGTGGGAGAAACTTGACTTGGAGAAAGTGGGGATTCCTTTTGGTGAAGCTCACAAGGAATGCAAGATCCTAGTGACATCAAGGGATCAAAATGTTTTGTCACGTGAGATGGAGACTCAGAAGAATTTTCCAGTTGGCATTTTACCTGAGAAGGAAGCATGGGAACTGTTCAAGAAAATGGCAAGCAGCACCGTTGAGAATCCTGATTTGCAAGTAACTGCAACTGAGGTAGCAAAGGAGTGTGCAGGTTTGCCCCTTGCCATTGTAACAGTTGCAAAGGCTTTGAAAAATAAGAGCTCATCCGAATGGAAGAATGCATTGCTAGACCTACGGAGGCCTTCCTCGAGGAACTTCACCGGAATACAGGCAGTTATATATTCAACTATTGAGTTGAGTTACAACAATTTAGAAACTGAAGAACTAAAAGCAACTTTCTTGCTTTGTGGTATTATTGGTAATACTATTATTATGGACTTGTTGAAATATGGTATAGGCTTGGGTGTATTTCAAGAAACCAAGACCATGGAAGAAACAAGAGATAGAGTAAATTCTTTACTCTGTAACCTTGAAGCCTCTTGTTTGCTGGTTGATCGTTCTACCAATGATCAGTTTGCCATACATGATGTTGTCCGTGATGTCGCTCTATCAATTGCATCTCGAGACAAGCACGTGCTCACAATTAAAAATTCGGTTGGGCCAAGAGAGTGGCCATATGCTGATTCAACTGGAATCCTCTTATTGCACAGTGACATCAGGGAGCTTCCTGAAGAAATGGAATATCCAAAATTGAAATTTATCTGTATATGGAATCCTTCTCTGGAGCTTCCTGAAAATTTTCTGAATAGGATGAGGGAGCTAAGAGTTCTGGATTTCACTGAAATGCGCATCCCATCATTACCTTCCTCAATATGTCTCCTTGCCAACCTTCGTAGCTTGTGTCTATATTCTTGTGTGTTGCAAGAGATAACTATTATCGGAGAATTAACAAAGCTTGAAATTCTCAGCTTTGTAGATTGTGATGTGGAACAATTGCCAAAGGAATTAGGCCAACTTACTAGGCTACAGTTGTTGGATTTGAGTGATTGCCCCAAAATCAAGGTAATTCCTCGGGGTGTCATATCAAGCCTATGTAGATTAGAAGAACTGTACCTGGGTAACAGCTTCAAGCTATGGGAAAATGAAGATCTAAGAAATCAGACAAGCAATGCTAGCCTTGCAGAGTTAAGGTGCTTGCCTAACCTGACAGCTCTTGACATACATATTCCTAACATCCAGATTATGTTGAATGATTTATTTTCTGAAAGGTTGACTAAATACCGAATATTTATGGGAGATGAATGGGACTGGCATGGTAAGTATGAAACTGAAAGAACATTAAAACTCAAGCATGGCACAAGCTTTCTTTTGGAGGATGGAATGTACAAGTTGCTTGAAAAAACTGAAGATCTGTATTTGGATGAATTGAAGGGTGAACCAAGCATTCTTTGGAAACTAGACAGGGAAGGATTGCCACAACTGAAACATCTCCATGTCCACAATAGTCCCGACATTAGATACATCATAAACACAATGGACGATCCATGGATTAGTTCAAAAGCTTTTCCAATTTTGGCGTCCTTGTTTCTTCAGAATATGATCAACTTGGAGAAGATATGTCATGGGAAATTCCCAGTGGGGTCTTTCAGCAAATTGAGAATAATAAAAGTAGGAAGCTGTGGAAGACTGGAGAGTCTGTTTTCATTCTCCTTGTTCAAGGACCTTGTGGAACTTCAAGAAATTGAAGTAACTGACTGTGAGAAAATGTTAGGTATTGTTGCTGAGGAAAGACTGGTTGCTGTTGTTGATAATGAAGCCAGAAGCAATGTCGAGCTTTGTCAATTACATTCCTTGACACTGAAGAATCTATCTTCGTTCATTAGCTTCTGCCACATGGATTCGCCTTCAACATCCTGGAGTACTATGTCCAACTCTATGCCACTTTTGGATGAAAAGGTAATATGCATATCTGACTTTTTCTTAAATGTCATTTGTGACTGTACAAAAGTTTAATGTCATCAAGTAATTCCTATTCGGACATAGGATGTGCCACAAACAATGAACTAAAATAAACTTTCTTGAGTTCTGTCTGAGCAAAAATGAAGAACTTCAGTTTCACTTCTTCACAACAGTAAACAAGCTCAAAAAAGTACGAACCAATGGGTGTCAAAATATGTGGTTTTACAAGTCTACAGAGATAGAAAATATGATGATCATCTAAATTATAAGGATATTCAGCTCAGACACACGCACCGTTCTCCTAATCTTATAATATAACTAATGCTGTTTTTTATTTCTTGTCTCTTCAAATTTAGTAGTTCATGAAGCAAACCCGTGCATGCAGGTTCGATTCCCTAACTTGGAAGAATTGAAACTAACCTCTGTGAAGATAGCAAAGATTTGGCCTGACCAACTCCAAACAATCTCTTCTTGCCTGAAGAATCTGAAAACCTTGAATCTGGAGGGATGTGGTAGTTTAACATGTCTATTCCCTTCTTATATGCTTAAAAATCTTATGCAACTCAAAACACTTGTAATACGCAATTGTAACGCAATAGAAAGGGTCATGGAGAAAGAAGCAATCAACCACTTGCTGTTCCCTGAATTATATGACTTGAGGCTTGAAAATCTTCCAAAACTCACTGGATTTTGTGCAGCAAATTTAATTGAATTTCCATCCTTGAGATGGCTGGTAATAAAGCAATGCCCTGAATTGAAGACGTTTAACCTAAACACTACCGGTGCACCAAGTGTTGTGGGTGGAGATCATTCAAGAACACACTCAGGGAGGAGAATCAATGGTGACATTCCTCTGTTTGATGAAAAGGTGTGCTTTTTTCTCTCAGATTTTCCATTTCTCCTACATACTCCCTCTTCAAGTCATTCCTCTTTCTTTTCTGTTATGTAGGACCCTCAAAATTAAGTTATCTTTTGCATATCTTTTGTTTCTGATCTCAAATTTTTTTATATTGATACAATTTTCTCAGCTTGGATTGCCAAACATAGAGAGGTTAATAATTGATGGTCTGCAGAAAAGTGGAGAAATTATGGCACAACCAACTTGCTGCTGGTGCTTTCTCCAGGATAGATTATCTTTCCATATGGAATTGTAGAAGGATCAAGAATATTTTTCCATCTAATATGATGAGCAAGCTCCAGAGATTAGACCGGTTAGGAATAAATCTCTGTGATTCATTACAGGTGATATTTGAACACCAAGAGCCCAATTTAACTGTCCCTCAAGCAACGGAGACAGGAACTGCCTTTAGAATTGTGTTCCCAAAAATAACCATCTTGGAGCTGTGGAACTTACAGGAACTAAAGTGTTTCTATCCTGGTGTGCATACTACAGAGTGGCCATTGTTGAAAAAATTGGATTTATATGCTTGTGACAAATTGACACTATTTGCTTCAAAATTTATGAGGTCACAGGAAGCACAAAGCATGAGGGGGCAACTTGATACACTGATTCAGCAGCCCCTGTTCATGGCTGATGAGGTATGGCTAAAAGTAGTCTGATAAAAGTATGTCCACATTGTTAGCCTCAGTAAGAATATGCTGATCTTTAACACTTCGAGATTATGTATTTTTAAATTTTCCCAAATAGTCATCACAGATTTTGTGCTTTAAGATGCAACCATTTTTCCTCCATGGTAAAGAAAATCATAGCAAAATCCAGAACTGTTAAAAAACTTTATATTAAAGTTAGGCGAAGTGTACATACTGACACAAATAGAGGCAGAGCATTCATACTTCTAATTCCCGAACAAACTCTATGCTGAATGATTTAACTAATGATTAGTAATTAGAGGTGTCCAAAACAAAGGTTTTGGTTGAAGAATACCTTATGATCTTCTCTTTTTAAATGAATGAGGTTATGGAACCATTTTTATGTCATTTATCATGGATTTTATGCTCTGCATATTTTAATAGTGATTACTGGTTTTCCAGACTACTTTCCATAATCTAGAGGAGCTGAAGGTAGAGGGAATTGATGCTAAGACAGAGTTATGGTGTTCCCAGTTCTCAGCTGCATATTTTCACAAACTAAAAGTTCTTGAGTTGATGGGCAGTCTTAAGCAACCCAGTGTGTCTTCTCTTAGCTTCATTCAAATATTACCCAATCTTGAAAGGCTTCATATTACTGATGCTCCATTAGAAGAAATATTCCAATGTGAAGTGATTGGTGGAGAACAAACACATTCAGGGAGGTTAACCAAGTTTAAGGAATTAAAGTTGTCTAAACTCCCTGTGCTGAAGCATCTATGGAAGGAAGAAATAAATCGTGGCCCAGTTTTCCAAGACTCAAGAACTGTGAATGGAAAATTAAGAAAATTAGTCCCATCATTAATAAATTTCCAAAGTCTGACAACTCTTGAGATATCAAATTGTCATAGATTAATAGATTTGGGCACAGTCCGAGCAGCTACAAGCCTAGTGCAGCTCACGAAAATAAGTATAAGTGACTGTGAAAGGATAGAAGAGATCTTAGTGAACATTCAGGATGATGTCCGAGATGGGATTGCATTCACCAAATTGAAGCATTTGGGACTTAATTCTTTACCAAGCCTCACAAGTTTCTGCCACGGAGAATGTACTTTTGAATTTCCATCCCTGGAAGAGGTTATTGTCAGAGGATGCCCTAGGATGGGGATCTTTTGTCATGGAGTTGTAAGGGCACCAAAGTTGCAGAAAGTACAATTGACAGAAGAAGATGTGGGGCAATGGCATGGTGACCTTAACACCACCATTAAACATATTTTCACAGAAATGGTATAAACTAATTTATCAAACTTCCTTCTCTCATCAAATATATACATATTTAATGGTTGCTTTTTCTTATTATTATTTGGTGAAATTGGTTCTTCTTCATCTTCTTATTTTTTTCCAGATAAGTGCAAGTTTATTTGGTAAAAGTTTTAACTATGATTTACTGAAAGTTCTTCACTCGGCAGGGTGGATTTTTTGGCTTAGAGCATCTGAAGCTCTCGGAATTCCCAGAGTTGGTCGAAATATGGAACAGTGGCCCTGTTTTACCTTTGGACTTCAAAAGCCTGAAACTGCTTGAAGTTAGTAACTGTAACAACTTGAGGTATCTGATCACTGCCTCCATGGCTCAGAACCTTGTTCACCTGGAAGTAATGAAAATAGAGAATTGTAGCGTGATGAAAGAAATTATTAGATACGAAGCAACAGAGGAAATGGCATCAGTTAAACTGATATTTCCCTTACTTATTACTGTTACTCTTGAGTCATTGCCCATCCTGACAAGCTTCTGTTCAGGAACAAATATTCTGGAATGTCCTGCATTAGAAAATCTCACCATAAATAATTGTCCCAACATTCTGAAATTTGCTTCATTATTTTTGTCGGATCATGCTCCAGAGGTCTCTTCTAATGATGAAACTATTGAAATCCTTAATAACCCAGATGCATCCTTTTTCGAAGATAAGGTATGTTTTACTTTATTGGTTTAAATTATATCTGTCAGGTTGAAGTGCATCCATCCTTTTCTTTGTACCATGATCTGAACATCATTTTTCCGGTGTGACTTTCAGTATTATCTCTGTACAAAAAGATTCAAATGTAACTTTCAGTATTATCTCTGGATTTATCTGGCTAATTACTCGAAAGGCCACATTCGTTTCTGAGAGTAAAAACAAGCATCATATAAACAAGACACCAAAGGGGTGCCACCTGAAACAAAGACGGCAATGACAAATAACTTTGCTTTATGTTATTTTCATCATTCAACATCCTGCAAACACATCCCTTAATGTAATCAAAGTTTTAGTTCATGCATAGGTCTTTTCTTACTCCTGTCATGTTAATTGGGGTAGCAATGAAGCGATCTTACTAACACAGGATGCATTTATAGGTCGTGCTCCCTAAGCTGAAGGAAGTTTTAATCTCAGATATGGACAAGATAAAAAATTTATGGGGCAACCACACTGCAGCGGACATTCTTCATGAATTAAAAATACTGAAAGTCCGATTTTGTCAAAATATGTCTACAATTTTTCCAGCCTCGGCAGCTAGATCTCTTCTGCAACTTGAGCAGCTAACAGTAGATTCTTGCTCTCAGTTAGAGCATATTGTTGCAAAGGATGAAGAAGAAGCAGCAGCCATTAACTTTGTGTTTCCGCGATTAATGTCCTTAGAACTGGGAACTATGCAAGAACTCAAAAGTTTCTATCCTGGTGTACATTCTATAGATTGGCCAGTATTAAATCTACTACACGTGTTTCACTGTGAAAAATTAAAGATATTCTCTCAGGAGCTCCTTAGATCCCAAGAGCAACCTCTTTTCTTCGTTGACAAGGTGTGTTTCATTTTTAACTCCTTTAGTTCTGTTTTAGATGTCAAAATATGTAGATCTTCCCAACTTTTCAGAACAACACCTTGAAACAACACAAAAATAAGTAGCTATTTTGCAAGATTCCTAAAACTGTGAGATAATCATGGTTTTACTTATGATGCTAGCATCTAGTTGTTAAAATGATCAAGGGGATAGTACAGCTATTTATTTATTTAACCGTCCTCTTCCAAATTTTTTTTGAAAGAACATCAAGTGCAATTGTTTCTGTTTGGTTGGTTTTCAGATTCTCCAAAACTTGGAAGCGTTGGCATTGAATTGGAATGACATCAACATTGTATTCCCTGAGAGGTCTCTAAGAGACCTTAATTGCAAATTAAAATTTCTTCAACTGCAGTGCTTTCATGTTGGATCAGTTATGTTCCCTTTGGGTTTTCTTGATGGATTGCGAAATCTGGACAAATTGGGTATTTCTTGCAGTGATTTTGAAGAAATATTGCCATATTTAGAGTTTCCAGGAGGGCAAATGTATACTGGCATCTTCACATGGATAAGAAATATAAGATTGTACGATCTTCCTTATGTAACGTATTTATGGAAACAAGGCTGGCAATGGCGATCAGTTTTTCAAAAACTTGAATCTTTAGAAGTGTGGTTATGTGACAGTTTGATTAATTTAGCACCATCCTATGCACCTCTTTCAAATCTGAAGACTTTGGATGTATGGGATTGTCGTGGATTAGTGAATTTATTCACATCCTCGGCAGCTAAAAATCTGGTGCAACTCATAGAATTGAGAATAAGGGAATGTGAAACAGTGAGGGAAGTGGTTTCAGATGAGGGTGATGAAAGAGAGATTATCTTCAGAAAATTGAAACGCTTGGAGCTTGATTCTTTGTCAAGCCTCTCATGCTTCTGCTTGGCATTTTCTGCTCTGAAATTTCCAACTTTGGAGGAAGTAATTATATGCAAGTGTCCAAGGTTGGAGCTTTTCTCCCAAGGAGAAATCTTAACCACACCATTGCTGTGCAGAGTATGGCTGACGAAGGAATGGGATCAGTGGCGCTGGGATGATGACCTTAACATCACCATTCGCCTCATCTACACTGAAATGGTACCTATATATTTATCAGATTATGTTTATCTCCAATAGCAGTTGTCACCAATTTGCTTGTTTTTCTCTTCAAGTTTACAGCTAATGAGAATATACATACATATATATATATATATAAGATGTAAGCTACATCACATTCTTGTATGCACTTGAATTGAAGCTCAATAATTTATCTTCTCCCCTCTTTGATGAACAGAATGGTCCATCAGAAAACCACGTGAGTTGCTAGAATTCCCCCACCACGAGGATCGGTCATACTTAATGCAACTGGTTGCCGTAAGGTGTCAAGAGGGAGTTGCTGCAGCTGTTGGTTTCACCATGGGAACTGACTCAAAGGCTTCTCCATCAATATGGAATAATAACTACGGAATTTTTCAAGCCCAGATTCTTGTGCTGAAACATCTACGAATTACTTTAAAGAAAGGGCTCATGGACATTATTGTTGAAACAGATTTTAATACACTTTTAAATCTGATAAAACATGCAGATAAAAATGCTCACCCCCTTGGCTATGTCATAGAAGGTTGCCGAAATCTGATTTGACTCCTCTAATTGTATGTTTTCTTCAGCATACACCTCCGGAAGGGAACTCTTGTGCAGACTTTATGGCAAATCTAGGACTCTATGAAGTTACGTTTAGTCTTCTACCCAAATCCTCCTCCAGGAATTGTGCCTCTACTTCAGGCTGATGCCATTAGAATTTCATTCCCAGAGCCTTTGGTTTCTTCTCCACGGTTTTCTTTCACACCAAGAAGACAATTCCAAGTTCGGTACAAGTCACATATTCATTCATTGTTCTTTTTCTTGTTTCCTTCAAATAGAGCTATTATACTTGTGTTTTCATGTGTATGTGCTTCATTGTTGGCAAAAATATAGAAGACCACTTCAGACAGCTTAATATCCTTTCAAACTTCAAGATACTGAAAAAGTTTATCTTTAAAATCAGGATGTTTTTTTTTCTCTCTTAGTGAAAATTCATACATTTAATTAATTAAATAACACATACACATCAATTATAATAAATATTTCCTAACGTAAGGCATACAAAAATGCACATTCATATGATCATGAATGCTGACACAAAAAATCACCTCTTTGGCTGTGTCGTAGAAGATTGTCATTATCTGTTTGAGTTGTGATTGGAATAGTATCCAGTAAACACCATCAGAAGGTAATGTCTGCTTGAAATTTATGACAATAATAGGACCTCTTCAGCTATGAGTTAGTCTTCTACGTGAATCCTCCTTGGGTGGTTGGCCCTCTGTTTCTCATCAATGCAGTGAGAATCTCACTGCCCAAGTCCTAGTTTCACTTCTACAGCCAAAGATCAAATAAAGCTCCTTCTGAAATGTTCAATTTAAGCATGACCAAAGGATTCCCACCGGTTGCTTAAGCATGTCACTCCTTTCCCGCTTAAGCATGACCGAAGGATTCTTACCTGTTGCAGAATGTACAATTTAAGTTACAACTAGTGTCAGCGAGTCTATCATTGCAGTTCTGATGAAATCCAAGTGGAAGGATTCCTTTCCCACTGCAGCAGAAAAGCAAGACTCACTATCTTATGCGGTTTCGAGCTCCTCAGCTTTCTAGCAGAAGAATGGAACCCAGTTTTGATGTCATTTTTAGTTCCTATAGCAGTCCCAATACGAAAATACCTTTGCAACCACGAAATATTGAATAATTTTCTTTTGTTTTGATGTAAACTACACGAATTTTTAAAAGAACAAACAATGTTGATTTAGTATTTCATGATTTGACTTGTCTCATCCTCTCCTTTTGAACCCTAACAACTACAATGGAGAAATGAAGAGATAAAAGAATTCCTAACAACTCATGTCACTCTGAGATACTGGCTACTAAATTTGTATTAACACTTATAAGCCTGATATTTGGAAGATTTCTGGTTGCACATCCAACGAACATCCTAGAACAGTCAGTTTTACGTAGCCAGCAGATCACGAGGAACGATATTTCTGCTCCTCATGTAGGTCAAGAACTGTCCAGGCAGCTCTTCCAGAAGAGCTTGAACAACAGAAATCTCCCCACCTGTCCAAGAAATAAATCGGGTTAAGTTTTTTGAAGGTAGATCAGAATGCAAGTGAAACAATAGAAAATTGAACAGAAACAAGTTAGAGTTCTAAAGATTTAGATATTTCAGATGCAGAAGTGATTCAAGTGAAAGCAAGAACCAAATGAAGATTTTGCAGAAGAATTGGGGGTAACTATACTCACTATTTACATCTCGCATTGGGACAAACTGTACGATATCTCGCGTAGCTACACGACCTGTAGAGCTCTCCAATCGACAACCATTATCAGCATCAAGGAGCTGGAAAGAGAAAATAATGAAAACTTTAACACAAAATCTCATCATCTGCTGTATGCTTAATATTTATTCCAACATCATTCTGAAAAGTAAGGGTATATATGTACCTCCATTTGTGTAAAATCTGCATCTCCCACACCAACAATAAGAATTGACAAGGGAAGATCAGAGGCCCTCACCAAAGCATTTTTGGTTTCTGTGATATCTGTTAGGACTCCATCCTAGAAAATAACTTGCCATTAAACAAAGATTGAAGAAAATGTAGAGAGAAATATATGGCATTAAAAGATGTCACACACACATATATAAGAATTGCTTACTGTGATTATAAGCAAGACAAAGTACTTGTGGGTGTTGGTTGAGAGAGATTTAGCAGCAATTTGAGCAGCCTTGTTTATGACTTGCCCAAATAAAGTTGGTCCTGCTAACCCAATGCTGTGTAAAGCACTAGAGTATGCAGCCATGATTCCTTCAACTCCTACAACCTGTTTAATGGCCGATTTACATATATAGTTTTATGATATCATTCTCCGGATAAATTATGACTAATGCCTACTAACCAAATGATTAAGATATAAGAGTTGAACTGAATGCAATGGAATTATAATACTTGGGAAAAATAATCACATCGATAGTTCAAATCTCTTTTTGTCTAAAAAGAAAAATATAGATGGTAACTCTCATCCTCTTACCTCAGAGCTATCTGATCTTCCATTCAAGTTAAAACAGTGTGATACCGTGCCATCAATCATCCTTCCTCCGAAACCCCAAGCTGGGAAATTTTTATCAGAATCGTAAAATTCAATAACCTCCCCAACCTCCATTATAGCCTGTAAGTATGTTGGTTAAAGCTTCTTTTAATCATTTGATAATGCTTTAATCAACCATAAAATTTATGTTTGGATGATTAAAAACAAGGTACTTCTTGTACTAATTTCAACCCCTCAAATCTTAATTTTCTTATCCCCAAGAATTTTCAGAAGCATTTGAATTTAAAAGAAAAAAAAAATGAGAACCTTGAGATCATGTTCATGAAATTAATCTATATATGACCACAAGTATGTTCGGAAAAAAAAAAAAAGAAAGTTAAGTCTTGCCTGTTGGTAGGAATTTAACGAGCCTGAAGGATCGATGTAGTGTAAAGAATCTGGATTTCGAGGATTCCCATTTGAACCTTGAAAAGAAAAAATTTACATCCATGTATTGCTATTAGAATCTTATGGTTCATAATTCGAATTTTAAGATTTGATTTGCTATAAGCACAAGCAGCTGCTGTCATCTGCTGTTACAGTACCCTATTGTCTACAAATTATGGTGTAACGTCTATTCTCGTTTGGGTATCAAATTGGGTTGGCTCAGTTCTGTCAAAGATGAGATTTGGTCTTGGAAGCACCTCAATGGACACTGCATTCTTGCTGATTCAATCCCTGTTACACTTATTTGGTCTGTGTGAAGTGAGGAATTGTAAAGCTTTCGAGGGGCTCGGTGACACTATGGGTTTTGATG